CTTGGATGACTTTGAAATCCTGAATCTGCTATCTCCACTTTCCAAGCACCATGACTAAAGGCCTGTGCCACCATATCTAGCTGAGGTGGCTTCCACTTCCTTTAGTGAGTCATTAGATGTACAGCATGAGTAAGATGAGCAGTTCCACATGTCTATTCAGTAAGGACTTAACACTCTGAGTCTGGGTTTCACCAGCTATAGAATAAGGACAGAACTCTGCCTTAATCCTTTGGCGATTTATAACAGACATTATGGTAAGTCAGAATAATATTGTTCTCAATTTGAAGTCAGTGGATTGTAAGGCAGGAGGGCTGCATCTGATGGGAGACTTCTTCTGTTAGTACAGTTAGGACAAAAGCCTGAGTCTTGGCTACCCTAATCAGCTAGGCTCACTCATCCTCAGTAAGTCAATTAAAAGAACTGAGTTGTCTAGTTGTGACATGCCCATCTATAATGCAGGCACTCTCTTGGCAAGGTGGACAGATGTTTCTGATGTACTAGCAAAGCCTAGTCTACATACTGAGATTCCAGGCCAGCAAGACATCGATAAGATCCTTTAAAATAAAACAACAAAATAAGAGAGAAAAACCCCACAAATTATCAATGAAAAGTGAAAACATATTAACATTGTTTCAGTGTGACTAATTTGGAAATGGGACGAATAAGGTAACGAATCCATCCTTGTGGTCCTAACGTTTATATAGAAGGCAATTATATGCATAACTATGTAAACTGACCAATCCCTATAGATTTTCTCTTGTCTGTAAATCCCTTTCCTGGTTTCAGCTCCTTTATGTCCTGTATTGTATTCAGATAATAAGTAAATATTTATTCAGCAGAAATGTTCTCATCTGGACGAATCAGGATTTTGCCAAAATGAGACTCCTGTTGAAAATCTAATTTCATGAAGTCCCCTGTATCACTCTCAGCCTGCTGAGATCTGTTTTAAATGACTTATCTCTGAATAGGAGAATGTAAGGTTAAGGAAAAATCTAAAAGAAACCATCAGGGTTTTGATGAACAGTAATATTTATTGAATTTTATAATAATGATTTAAACTGTCAGATCATTTCATATGTTCTCAATAAATTTAAGATTTTTCTTTGCTTTGTTAATTTCCTATATTTAAACATGTTTGAAATGTGATTGTGAGTATATGCCTGTGCCATGGTGTTAATGTGACAGTGTCTGAACACCTTATAGGCACCTGTAATCTACTTCCACTATGAGAGTTCTAGAAATAAAACCCAAGAAGCATTTGCCTATAAGTGACCTCATTGTTCCTTATTTGGGTTTACAAACAATTTATGTAACTGCTGGTGTGTCAGCATATATCTGCCAGGGCCTAAGTGTGGAAATAAGAGAAGGGGAGGCTGGAGAAATGGCTCAGTGGTTAAGAGCACTGACTGTTCTTCCAGAGGTCCTGAGTTCAATTCCCAGCAACCACATGATGGCTCATAAACATCTGTAATGGGATCTGATGCCCTTTTCTGACCTGTCTGAAGACAACTACAGTGTACTCATTTAAAAAAAAAAAACTTAAGAAAAAGAAATGAGGGGCCATTTGTAGATAATATGGGTCTCTCAGAGACTGAACTCAAGTCATCAGGCTTAGCAGTAACCTAATTTACCCAATGAACCAATTCTCTGTCATTCATTTATGGTTCTGCCATGAGGGTTACGAAGAAGTGTTTCCTCCTAAGAATGAATAGGCACATTCCAAAAAAAGAGATAGCAATGTATGAGTTTCATTTGCAAATAGGATTTATTATACAACTTTTTCTATTTTTCTCCATCCTTAGATGACAATGTACTTACAATCTGAAAAGAAGACAGTATTTACTGATATGATGTCTCACCTAGTCTTATTTGAGCATCAGTGAGAAGGCTCAGTGAGAAACATTTATGATGTGCGAAGCTGTCAAGTGACTTTGATCACCAAGTAAAGATGGCCAATAGTAGAACCCCCAAAATTCTGTCAGTCTCCACATATCTGTGGTGGCCAAAAAAAGCTATCATCCCACAACAGAATAAAAGTAAAATGAAATCATTGATCTTACATAATATTGCATCTCTAGATAATTCTCTTAAAAGGCATTACTTCAAGATGAAGTGTCAAATGAATATCTACTGGGGACATGAAGGAATATGGATCATTAAATAGTTTATGTATCTACAGCACATCAAAACATATTGTGAGATTTTATATTTGATTGTTGATTGTCCTACATCATGACATCTCTACAGTATTCATGAAAATGATGCTTTGGGTACATACATGAGGTAGTTATTGTTTTGTTATATATTTCCTTCTACTAAGCATTTCGACATTAATATTATTAAAATGTTTTGACAAAACAGGACACATTGGAGGTACACCTTCTACCCTTGGATTGTACTCAGGAGGCTGACACATGAGAATCAGACTTAAAATGTAACCCTGACTAATAATTGACACCAAACCCAGGCTGGATAACAAGTAACAACATCTTAAAGGAATTTGTGACAATATGGAAAACAAAACAAGGAACAAGAGCCCATCATCCATTCATAGACACCCTTATTCAAAGTGTGATCACACACAGCCTGGTATTTAAATAAACAATGGACCACCAGATGTTGGGCATCCCATTCTATTTATTGCAACAGAAATCTACCCATCACCAAGTAACATGCAGTAGAGAATGAAAAGAAGCCACAGAGGGAATACAAGAACAATGTAAGGAACTTCTGTAAGTTGATTTCCCCCCACACAGCAAACTTCCATACCTATTCCCAGTGGGTCAAATATAAACCACCACTATAATTGGTGATTTCTACCAAAACGCTTCAGTAATTTAATAAATAATTTACTTCTTTCAAGGTTATGAGAAAGAAGAGATGATAAAAGTTATTTTCTTGAAATTGAATACAATGGTGATATGTCTAGTATTTCTTGAAATAATTACATGGATAGAATTTTTGCCTTTCATGAGTTTTTTCCTATTTCTTAACATCAATATGACAAAGACTTTAAAATATTTACAAGGTGTCTTAGTTGGGGTTTCTACTCGTGCACAAAACATCATGACCAAGAAGCAAGTTGGGGAGGAAAGGGTTTATTCAGCTTACACTTCCACATTGCTGTTCATCACCAAAGGAATTCAGGACAGGACTACTCACAGGGCAGGAACCTGAAGGCAGGAGCTGATGCAGAGGTCATGGAGGAATGTTGTATACTGGATTGTTTCCCTGCCTTGCTGAGCTTCTTTCTTATTGAACCCAGGACCACTAGCCCAAGGATGGTACCACCCACAATGGGCTGGGCCCTCCCCTCTTGATCACTAATTAAGAAAATGCCTTACAGCTGGATCTCATGGAGGCATTTCCTCAACTGAGGCTCCTTTCTCTGTGATAACGCCAACTTGTGTCAAGTTGACTGACAAAACCAGGCAGTACACAGGGCTAGAGACATAAGCAAGCAATTAAGATAATTCATTTTCAGGAACAATCTCAGGTGTTCAACAACATCTGGTAATTCCTACTACTAGAAGATCTATCAGTTTAATTTTCTTGGAAATCAGCATACACATCCATATACTCAAACAAAGCCATACAGACATCTCACAATTAAACTAGCACAAGTAGTAAAACAAAATCTTCCTCATGAATGTTCTTCTTGTATAAGCATTCATTCCTATAACCCAGGGCTTGAGGCATCTGAAGAAACCCAGAGTTTTCCTTCATCATGAATTGGCTCATGTAACAGAAAGCAAGCATGTCGGCTTGAAGTCAAGGAAACCAATCCTTCTCAGCTCAGGTGGTGGTATCATTTAGGGAGATTTAGGAAATGCTGTTCTGCTAGAAGAAAGATGTCACTGGGGGGTAGACTTGAGATTTTACATCCTCACACCATTTCTAGATGACACACTCTCTTTAATGCTACAGTTTGAGGATGTGAGCTTTGAACTCCCTCTTATATCTGCCATGTTTAACACTTGTTGCCATGACACTTTCATGATGATCCCATATCCCTTAGGAACTGTAAGTCATATGACAGACTTCCGTAAGTTGCCTTAAACATTTTGTTTTATCACAGCAACAGAAAAGGCACTAACACACACTGATTACTCCCATTACACCTGAATGAGGTTTTTTTTCATGTAATAAAAGGGAATTGTGAAATCTAAACCAGTTACCAGTACCTTATAGTTAAAATTCTTAGGTTTTTTTTTTTTTTTTGTCCATATGAGTTTGCGGGTAGAAAAAAAATAGAGACATAATTATATTTGATCAGATTATTGACACTTGTTGAGAGACTTTCTGAAGAATAAATAGTCTAGTATAATTTAATGGGAGTAGGTTGGCTAAAGACTACTGTGTTATGCAAAGGCTTTAGCGATTGTAAACACGCTAAATGTTTTACTCTTGTACAAAGATACCAGGAAGTGTAAACATTTGCCACATTAACTACATGTGAAGTGATTCTCTGCAGTATGGCTTTTTCTCATGACATTAAAAACTACCAGTACATGCATAGGCTATACTACAGTGTTTATATTCATAAAGTTTCATGCCAGAAATGTGTTATCTATGTATTAGAAGATAACCATGACATGCAATGGCTTTTCCATATTCAGCATATTGAAAGGGTTTCTCTCTAGTATATGTTCTTTCATGTACTCAAAGATTACTATGACATATAAAGTCTTAACTCTGTTGAATACATTCACAGGGTTTCTCTCACCTGTGTGTTCTCGTATATGTTCTCAGATATATGTGAAAAACGCTTATTATAACATTTGTAGAGTTTCTCTCTACTATGTGCAGTTTTATGTATTCAAAATGACTGATATTCAAAAGTTTACCACATTGAGTATATTCATAAAGTGTCTCTCCAGTATGTGCCCCTTTCTGCATTACAAGATATCTGTGCTTGGTAAAGGCTTTACCACACTTTTTATTTTCAGAGAGTTTCTTGTTAATATGCATATTTTCTTGAAAATGAAAACTGTGGGGATTCATAGAGACTTCATCACATTAAGTATATCCATAGGCTTTTTTACATTATGAATTCTTTTATGCCTTTGAAGACGACTATGGCATGCAAAGGTTTTACCACATTGACTACATTCATAGGGTTTCTCTCCTGTATGTGTTCTTTTATGCATTCCAAGATGACTGTGTTGTGAAAAGGCTTTATAACATTGACTGCATTTGTAAGGTTTCTCTCCAGTATGAGTTCGTTTATGCAGTTGGAGACTATTGTGCCGTGAAAAGGCTTTATCACATTGATTACATTTATATGGTTTCTCTCCAGTATGAATTCTTTCGTGCATTTGAAGACTCCTGTGATATGAAAAGGCTTTACCACACTGGTTACATTCGTATGGTTTCTCTCCAGTATGTGTTCTTTTATGCATTTGGAGATTATAGTGCTGTGAAAAGGTTTTACCACATTGGTTACATTCATAGGGTTTCTCCCCACTATGTGTTCTTTTATGTCTTAGGAGACCCGTGTGATTTGTAAAGGCTTTATCACATTGATTACATTTGTAGGGTTTCTCTCCAGTATGAATTCTTTCATGCATTTGAAGACTCCTGTGATATGGAAAGGATTGCCCACATTGGTTACATTCATATGGTTTCTCTCTAGTATGAATTCTTTTGTGGCTTTTAAGATGACTGTGATTTGCAAATTCACAGGCTTTACCAAATTGATCACATAAATAGAAATTCTGGAGAGTTTGTGTTCTTTTATGTATTTGGAGACTACTGTGATGTGCAAAGGCTTCAACATATTGAGTAACTCCACAGGGTTTCTTTTCAATATGAATGTTTTCACGCCTCTGAGCATGACAGTGACATGCAAAGGTTTTACACTGGGGATATTCAGAGGTTTTCTCTCCAGTACGACTTCTTGCATGCCTGTGAAGATAATTAGCACATGTGAAAGCTTTCCAATTCATTACACTGATGATGCTTTTCATCCATATACAATAATTTTATAATTTGTCTAAATGTAGAAGGAACCAACACTTAAGGTTTTATCACTTTGTTTAAATTCATGGGGTTTCCTTTCATTATGGGTAGTTTTTCATCTTAAAAGATACTTGTGATGGTAAGAGCATTTATCACGAGTCAGATTTATACATCCTTTTTCTAAGGAAGTTTTAAAAAATATTTTAAGGAGATTGGAAGAACTCAAAGCTTTACCACTCTAATTGCATTCACAAATTTTCCTGTGGTTTGAGTCATTCTACATTTGCAAAGTGAACCAAGACAAACAGAATTTCCACATTCTTAGCACTCAAGATTACTTTCTACAGTGTGAGCTTGTTGATGTATTCCCAATGAAGTTGGAAAAACAATTAACTGTAATCTTGTTTCAAACTCAGTAAACCTACTAACTGGGGACTACTATGGATCTTCTACTTATTCTGGGAGGAAAAGAAGTTCATTGCTTCTGTCAATATCCCTTATGAAAGGAAGACTAAACAACAAAAGGATTCTCCATTGAATTCATGCAGTTTGATTTTTTGTCCCTCATAATACATGTGGTATAAGGATAAAGGTTACTCCACAACAACCTTGTTACTTCTCATAAACTGCCCCTCACACTGAACTTAGCAACATCACTACAAGTATCTGAGTAACCCCAGCTTTACTATACACTAATATTTGCTTATGAGAAGTTCTTGGACATATATTTTTCACCTATTCAATATGTATGGCTTTCCCAGTATCAGGGTGGTATGAGAAGAAATGAATCGATGGGCACCTTTAAAGTGTCACTCTTAAAGGTCTATGATTCAGATGGTGACATATGATAAGGCATCATTTCCATGTGTCCTTTCTTAAAGGAATGCCTTGCAAAGAAAATTCAGATACAATTGAATTACATGGTTTTATGAAAATAAATAATAAGCATCAATACACTTAAAGGTATTCTAGTTTACACATTTGCTTTTCCTTAAAACTTCCAGGACATAATAAAATTTCTTCAGAAGCATATTTTCATGAATTTGTACATGGTAATTACCTTCTATGTCTTCTAGAACTCTGACGATGTTCTTCAACATTGTGGCCTTCCCAATTAAAGCCTAAAATATAGTGCCAGAAAGTATATGACATAATACTGGAAATTATGCAAAATTTTAAGTTACTATCCTCAGTGAAATATAGCGCCATGACTGATTTATTTTCCGCATTACTCTTCCTCCTCATTTGAAACTACCAGAAGAAAGAAACAGTTATCCCTTATTTTAAAAAGGGAAAGAAAATTCAGTCTTACCTATAATACTGAGGTTCCTGTAGGTCTCCAGCATGACATCTTTGTAGAGCTTCTTCTGGGAAGGATTTAGCAACGCCCACTCTTCCTGAGTGAAGTTCACATGTACATCCTCATAAGTCACTGCATTCTAGAATATCCCATATGTATATTATTTTTTTAAGAATGGAAGTGATAAACTCAAGCAGTGTACCATATCTTCTGAAGAACAGCAGGTAGATCATAATTCAAGGCAGTGTACCATATAGACCATGACATGTTTCAAGGCACAGGCCAAGAAGATTTTGTACTTTTCCACCACCTGGACCCTCTTACCCCCTCCCCTTGTAAAACATGCTATAAAAAAGCATTTCATGTTCAAAAAAAAAAAAGAAACTAAAAAAAAAAAGAATGGAAGTGATAATATTGGATATGCATACCTCATTGACAGTATGTTCATATAATTCTGGTGCTTCCCCCACCCATTTCCTGACACAGAAGTTCTTTTTTTTTTTTTTCTTTTTTTTTCTTTTTTTCCGGTTCCAAGGGAAGGGGTTTATTTGGGGAAGGGAGTGGGAGAGAGGAACGGGAAGATGGCGAGTGAAGAGAAGAGGAAGAGAGAGAGAAGTAGAGAGGAGTAGAGGCCGGCCATGACCACGAGGAGAGAGGGGGAAGGGAAGGGGGGAGGGGAGACAACCTGCAGGTGCTCAAGGTTGAGGAGCAAGAGAGAGAGGAGGGGCCAAGCAGCCCCTTTTGACACAGAAGTTCTAATGAAACTGCCAAGTAATTTTAGAAAGAACCAAAATGATGAGGTTCACCCATCATTTCCGTGCCCTTTGAATGGGATATAACCTCGGAAGGGAAATGCCCATTAACAGACATAAGGAGAAGCGGGCAAGCAATCAGATCACTAATACTTAGCACACATCAAAGAAATAATAAGAACAGTTACTAATAACAAAAATAATCAGCAAGGTGGCTCTAATGGCTCAGGTCCTTCATCATTGCATTTAGGAGACAGAGGCAGAAGTATCACATTTGGTTGGCTGCCAGCATGGTGTATGCAATGTGTTCTAGAACAGCCATAGTTATATATTAAGATCCTGTCTCCCCTGCAAGAGCCAAGCACACAAATCAAAAAGATAGAAAGAACTCAGAGGTTTTTACTTAAGTTCTTAAAACAATGACGCATCCACTCCAGTTCTGTATACATCTTCCAGAAACCTGAGATGACTCAGCTCAAACTATTAGAGTGATAAGATATTACCAAAAGAGTATTTTAATACAGTTACAATTGAACAGATGAAAACATTAGCAATATTAATGGTGATCTTGTGGAAATAACTTCCAGGTCCAACAGCCAATGTTATAAAAACAAAAAACGTGAAGCACATTGGCCCACTTTTTATCCCAGCATTTAAAAGGACAGAGTCAGAAAGATCTCTAAATTCCAGGTCTGCCTGATCTACAGGCATACTTTCAGGACAGTCAGTCTACACAGAGAAACATTGTCTTTAACACCAAAAACAACATAATTTAAAAATATAATATTAGGTTAGCAAAATAGCTTAGTACTGAATTACTGCTATTGTATCTTATGTGATTTATGGAGAGAGTCTATTGTGGTGAAGGCACAGCAGCATGAGAAGGAGGCTAAAGGATCAGTTTCAACCACAACACAGTAGACTCAAAGAACAGGAGATGGGTTTTATCTACAGACATTCAACTCCCATCTTAAGAAGGAATTGCTTCTAGAAAGGGTTAATCTACAAAAGATTCCCTATTCTCCCCAAGAAAAGCCACCAAGGAGAAACAAATATTCAAAGACATCATCCTATCTGGGAGCTTTCTGATGCAACTAACTGCATTGTGACCCTGGTCACAATAGACTCATATTCATTCCACGATGAAAATGCATATAGTTTAACTTCAGTGATCCTCAAATTCTGTAACAGTCACTATACTGTTCAAATGTCCAAAGTCTCTTTTCATACTCAAGGTAATATTTACAAGTCGGACTGATAAAACTTGTAAAGTCAGAAAACAAGTTATATTTTTATAACATAAAATGGCACAGAATATTCCTTCCCTTTACAACAGACAAGATTATGTACATAGGGAAGATTGTAGCAAGGCAAGTAACCCAGATGAGCCAACACCAAATCCTGTGGCTCTGTCTCAGACACATGGGGCTCCAATTGTAAAGAACTTAGGCAACCGTATCCCTACAATTTCTCATACATCTCTTGGTTTGGTTAGTTCCAGTCCCTATATGCAGCTGTCTAAGGGAGATGCCTCATAGCTTGTGAATCTTAACATCTTGGAATATCAGTATGAAACTGAGGCTTCATCTTCAGGGCTTAAGACAATGAACTCTCACACTCTCTTAATTGGGGATCTGACTCTGCCAAACACAGATTTCTGGAACTGAAACCACAGACCAAGCATCCATGACCTTACATTTTGTATCACTCTTGTTTCTGGGACCAGCACAACATGGATGATCCTGCCAAGTTTAGCTTCTAAATTGGGATGGACCCCACCATGCTTGGACCACAGTTGTAGCAGGCTTCATATGAAGTTGCTCCCTGGAACTAGGAATCATTTTGTCTACTGCTTCCACTAATTGAAAGGTTAGCAGGTCAGAGTTTAACTATTATGGCACCTTCTTAAGCTTCCAATCTAGAGTAAGGGCCTTCACTGTAACTGTGATGAGCTCCTTGCATAACAGATTAAAAAAACAGTGTCTGATTTGTATTAAACACTAAAAGCTGCTTGTTTTGCACCAATTCTTTATAATGAGAGGTAAAACCTTAAAAAAAAGTCTGAGCTTCCCAGGGAAGCAAATTGAGCACCTCATATAGACCTCCTGACAATGAGCTGTTAATCATTGTTAACTCTGCCATAGGAAAAATAACCTCAGAGCTGAGTCAGTTCCTGAAATGTTTGACCGAATATAGTAACTAGGCTGGCGCCAAATCAGTTCATGAAATCTTCTCAAGGCCTCACCAAATATAGTAAAGCTAATGTAGCAGCCAATCAGAAACTGAACCGTGGAAGTTCCCCTATACCCACCAATGAAGTTTTAGATTATCTAACCTTTCCTTTTAATTTCCTATAAGAGACTTGTGCACCTTCATCTGGGGTCACCATTTTGATAAATAGTTGACCCATGCATGCATGCTGGTAATTTCTGCTGAATAAAGAATCATTGCCATTGCATACTGCTTGAGTCTGGGGTCTTCCTTCAGTGTTTCTTGTACCCTACCAATAAGGCATAAGCACTTTTGAAAACAAGTCTATTCTCATTTTCATGTGTATATTTGTATGTGAGCTAGAGAAAGTCTTCCATGTGTATACAGGTGACACACCAGAGAAGAGAGAGTCAGATCGCGTGGATGTAGAGTAGCAGGTTGTTATGAGCCTTCCAGCATGGGTATTGGTATCTGAACTTAGGTCAACCCCAATAAGAATACTTCCTGAGTGACCTGTGTAGCCCACTTACCCAACAAAAACACCTTTCACAGATTAACAACAACAAAAATTGAAATAAATGAAGAAATGAAGAAATTGGTCATGGGAACCTGAAGAGTCAGTATTTAGATGTTTGGTATGTGACAAGGTTGGAGGCCTATGGGCAATCCCTACTCTTTGCCATCTGAGACCCTAGTGCTGCACCTTCCTCTTCCTTTGTCTTTACTCCTTATAGAAATCACCAAT